GAAAATAGTTATGGATGCTGAAGACTGCGGAATTGGGTGTGGTGGAGAAGAGAAGGGTATAGAGAAAGACAGCAAGAGAACAAATAGGCATGACATTAGTGGGACACAGAAGTGGTTTATTACCTGTTAATGATAATATGTACAGTATTCTCGATTGAACTGGACTGAGAGTATTTCATGTTGGGTAAATTCTTTATACAAGACAAATGATATATAGTGACTGAATGTTTTAAAAAATAATAATAAATAAAAATCTGAAAAAATGATGAAAAGCTATTTGATGATGATGTTGATAGTAATGGCTTTGTCTTGACTGATATGCATGGTAATCATGCTGGAAAAAGAAATGCAATACACTGTGAAGATACATGTGATTCAACGTAACATAAAAAGACATGATAATAATAAATAAAATAAAATTTTAAAGAAGATAACTTTGGGACCAGCAATTAGCGTAACAGCTATGTCACTGGACTCCCACAGTCGATTGTGGTTCACATCCCGGAACCGGTTGCTTAAAACTCACTCCAGGTGCATGTGCGTGCGTGCCCAAGATCCCGAGAGGAGAATGGAGGAGAAGGGATTACGGTGTGGCCATCTCCCCTGGGGGGTGATTTCTCGCTTTCTGTCTCTCTGTCTCTCTGTTTGTCTGGTGAGTGCACGCGCTCTATAGCAAAAACCTCTTTAAAAAAAAAAAAAGATAACTTTGTAACCTAAAAACTAAAAAGCTCTAAGAAAGTACATTTCTAATGATCTTCTCACAAAAAAGGTATTTAAAGTGATACATATGTGAAATAGCTTGATTAGTCCATGTAATATTCATAAATTACAACATCACTTTGCCTCTATAAATATATACAACTATACTTTTTCAATTTGCAAAAAAAAAAAATTACAGTAGGAAAGATATTGTAGATGATAATTTTAGTTTAAGAAAACTGCCTCAGACACAAACTTTTCTATAAATGCGATAAATGAACTAACTGTAAAATCTTTTTTATTGTCGCTAAGACAGATTTTTGCTATAGGGATCGCATACTCACACTCACCAGAGAGAGAAAGTGAGAAATTACCCCTTGAGGGGGATGGCCACACCGCAATCCCTTCTCCATTCTTCTCTTGGGAGGATTTTGAGCACACATTCACAGATGCCAGCATGAGTTTTAAGCTGCTGGGTCTGGGCCTTGGACCCCAGTTGGCCATGTGGGAGTACAACACCTTAATCATTATGCCACCTGCTGGCCCCACTAAGGGTAAAACTAACTACTGAAACAAGCAGATTCAGAAGCTCTTTCATTCATAGAACCAACATTCAGCCAGTCTTCACTGATTTATTGTTATAGGACCATCTCTTTTGATTTGTCTAGCATCTGTTTGGATTGGTTAATCTTCTGTTTTACTTAGAATGCAATATCAAAATGGGATGCTCATGCTGTCTTAATATAGCCACAATACTTAAAATAAAACTGATTATTTTAAATAACCCCCAAAATTCAACCTTCGTTTTATAAATCAGATCTTTCAAACAGTAAGAGTGCTTGGTAATCACTTTGCCAACCAGGTAAAAGTTTCTGTAAGGAAGAGAAACAGATTGACTGCTCAATTTAGACTTTTGGATTAGTTGTGACATTTTATTATTCCAACTTTTTATTTTTGCCTTTGTGAATAATTGTGTGCACAGTGCGCTTCAAATATTAAGCTTGGGTGACCTATAGCCAAAGAATTGAAGTAATTTTTATGGAGTAAGAAACACTAAGAATTCTATTCAATTGTCTTCTGCAGAAAGAAGCCTAAAATTGTTATCAATGACTTTCCTGGCTAGTTTCCTTTTAAATAACATAATTATCTTTGATTACAATGATCTATGTGAAAACTGATGAAACACTACATAAATCACTTGTTTATAAATAAGGGCTATGATGGATTCAAATACTTTAGATCCTAAGAGAAATTGTTACTCAGATCAGACCACATTAATAAAAATAATGACATGTTTATGTAAATTTGTATAATTGTATTCATTTTATTATAATAAATAAATTAAAACATGTGAAGCATTCAGATCAGTTTCAATAAATGTCAGCTTAAAGAAACTTGGGCTGTACAAATTTGGACTAGATAATGCCTGTGGAATCATGCAGTGAAACAATAAAAAAAAAATCTTGCAATTCCAAATAAAATTAAGAAAGCAGTTGGAAAATATGTTAATAGAAAAATGGAACAACAAAATGAATATCACCACTGCAGTGAAAATACTGTAATGAAACAGAAATATCCATCCTTCACAGGCTTACTTGGATACGTCAGACTTTTATTATTAAAATCATTTTGTTTTGGAAGAGGAGGCAGCTTTTTTCCCCATCCTCTCCCCCCTTCACAAGTAAACATCCTCTTTCGCCATCTGGTGGCTAAAGACAACATTTTTTGGGTAGATGAAAAATGAACACAGATTTCGCAGTCAATTGTGTTTAATGCTTTCTGATTTACTGGAAAGATATATTTCTTTAACCTATGTAAATATAACTGAGGCAATTCCAAAAGTTCGTCGCAGTTTATTCAAATGATTCTTGCTATAGTATTTCTGTAGGATACAAACAAAATCGACGATTATTAAAAAATCATTTTGAAAGCTGAAATTAAATATGGTAGTAACAATTTGTTTGACCTGAATGCTTTTTGGCATAAAGAATTGAGAAGATCTTTTTAAAAAGAAGGTTTATAATTTTAATCACTATGGCAGATATCATTAAAGGCTTCAGTTTTGGTTTTTATTGTTTCAATAGTCATAACCAAATGTCAACAATTTCCCAGACCAAAAAGGGTGCAGAATTTAACAGTCCAGTTTTGAGTTTTTCCTATAGCTTTTTCTTAATTAAAATGTTCAATATTTATATATGTATGTATCCATCACCTCATTCATAAGAAATTAACATGACAATTATTTCATGTTTGATTTCTTTATTTTCTCCAGAATATCTTAATATTGAAACCCAAATTGTTATTTTGAGAAAGGGAGAAACAGAGAAACATGAAAAGACAAACAATTCATTTCATTTAACTTATGGTATTGTGAGCAGTCACTTTCGTAGGCAACACTTTTTTTTCTTTGTAGAAAAGAAGAAATAAAAAACAAACAGCACCATTAAAGAATGCATGATCCCTGAATTCTAAACAAAACACTGTCTAAAAATTTTTTAGATGCTTGTTGCACTCAGTCACATTTAGTCAGGTATCAAAGCAAGCATATCAGTATTAAATTGTAGCAGTCTTGCTGAATCAACTGCTCCCCCTTCTGAGGATTTTACACACCTTTTCTGAGTTTTTCCTGTGGGAATAATATATTCTTTGGTAGAGGACTGAAGGAGGGTTTCGCTTTTCTGTATGCTGATATAAAATGTCTGTGTATGTTCAGGGCCTTTGCCCCCAATCTGTGTTTGCCATGCATGTTATGTTTGGGTTGATTTCACATTTTGCTGTTACACTGTAGGAGTAATACTGCCTTTAAAAAAAAAAGGCATTAAATGGCTAATGTCAAACAGATGTAAACATTCAGAATACTGACCAAAAACTTTAAAAACATAAAAACACAAACACACATTAAAAAAAAAAAAAAAACTGTACTGAGAATATGAATCAGATTAAGTTTCCATGAAGCAGGAGAAAATACAGCAGTACAAGAAAATTATGGCAACCAAGTAAAGCACTTTCTTGGAAACATTCATGAACAGTACAAATACAACAAAGTTTTTCTACAGTCTAAATTATTCTGCAACTATCAAATATAGTACAAAGCGAAATAGTATGTGCTATAAAAAAGCAGCTCCTTTAAATTATAGTAAAAATGCTTTTTTGTTTACTTTACAGTGACAAAGCGTGAGGACTGAAGACGACAGGATTTTCATATTCAGTGACATTTTGGCTACATAGGCCCCTGACAGTCCAATGAGTTCCTGTGCTAGGACTCTTCACATTGTTCGCTGGGGACAGATATGGACAGTAACTCTGGGCTCTACATTTCCAGGGGGTCATTCATTTTCCCCACCAGGCAGCAAGTGCAGTGCTGGGTCTCAACACCTTGGATGATGCAAGCCTAAGCTTGGCTTCAGCTTTTAAAACCTAGGACTTCACCATACCACAGAGGAACTGGGAAGCCAGAGGCCACAGTAACTTCCTTTTGAAACTGTGCCAATGTCTGTAAAGGAAATGGGGCTGCAGCAACATGTATTTTTACTCTTGACTGCATTATAAAGCACCGTATGCACCAGCTTGTTTATGCAAGGTCCAGAAGTCAACTAACCCTTCTAACGCTCATCCCAGAAACACAAACTACCACAAAGTCTTTATAGCGACCAGGCTCAACCTCATAGGTTTGTTTTCAAGTTTTGTTTTTTCTTCTGAACTAGACCTTAGCAGGGAAATTTTATATATAACTATGGTGTTCAGTTCACCAAAATTTCTATTCTTATTTGGGGAAGGAAAAAAAAATATCTTCATTTTGAAAATGAATTTGCATCAGAATGCTCTTATTAACATGCCCATTAACTACCTACATGTCTTTACACACCTCAGGCATATGCATATCATATAGGAGGGGGTTAAGGAATCGCAGTTTTCTTCCTTCCCCTGATCCAAAAGTGCTACTTAGGGAATTACATCCTTTATGATAAAGAAAAAAAATTACATGTTATATGTGCAAGTTCTATTCCTGATAGGGATATAATATTGTCCAATAATCAGGATAATGCACACACTAACATTTGCACATTACATCACGATAACCATGTAGTAAATAACATACTCCATTTGCACACAGGCAGACACATAGAAATTGGGACACTATGAACCTACATACCTAATTCAATTCTACTGGCTTTTGTATATATATTAAATGGACACCTGTAGAATACCTGACCCACATTTTACTTCAGAATTTTCCTTTCCATTTTTACCCCAAAGATGTTAACTTTTTTCAGTAATATAAACCATAGGAGAACACTAGAAATTTGAGTTGGGGGCAAAAAAAGAGCAAAGGCATGGAAAAAGTATGTTCTTTGGACCAGGGTGATAGAATCCATGCATTATCAACAAGTGATTCTTCAGACATGTTAGGTGAAAAAACTAGACATACAGAAGGACACTTCTTTATTCCCACTAAGCTACTTGCAGGCAGTATTGAACCATGATGGAACGGACAATGAGCTCAGTATCACCCCGGCTCAGTTGTACCTCACATGCAGAGTGCAAAGGTGTTGTAGACTGGAGTTTCTTTCAACACCGTGTGTCAGCTACTGGTGTGGTAGTTTTTGATCTGCTGGTGTAGACAGTATCTGACACGGGTATACCAGTGACTGAATTTGGAAGAAATTTGGATGCAAGTGTTTATTGTCTAGGGGTGTCCCATCGTGAGACTAAGAGCATGATCTTCAGAATCAAGATGGTATTGGAGCCAAGCAGACTATAAAGACACCAGGGATAAGGACGCCACCCAAATGCAATCTGGCAAGTGCAGAGTTCGCTCAAGAGCCACAGGAATTGCTGCTGCATTCCTTGGCAAGGGCTGGTTAAGTGCATTGCTAACTGTCTCAGTTATTCATTTAGCTAATTTTCATATGAAAAATAGAAGTAATAGTACCAAAGCACCAAATGACAGCCACAGAGGCAGGCTTTTCTTTTGAAAATAAAGTACCTTTCATTATTGGCAATTTGTTAATAAAAACAATATTAATAAAAACAATGTCTCATCACCTAAAGAAATTTGTCAACATCACAATAATAAATACGAAGGAAAAAAAACGTATCATAGTTGAGTATTATTTTAAAAACTCACAAATGTTTTTTGTTCTGTTTTTCTTTTTTTTTTCCCCCTCCAGGAATTTAATTTCTGCTCATTCCAGTTAACTTTTAAGACATGATTTAAGGGAATGTCAAACAAAGTTTACATTGATTAGGATAATTCCATGTGGAAATATCTATCAATCTTACCCTGGATATAGATGATTTTTATTCCCTCTTTTTTTTTCCTACAGCCACAATCAAGAAATGGGTTAATGGCACTCCGCATTTTGTGCTCTATTATCTGAAGTTTAATGGGCGTGGTTTTGCTTCCTTTCATCTTCCCACAATGTACATGTGCTTTTGAACTTGCTTTTGGGAACAGAGCCTCCTGAACTACAGCTGTTTTCCAGCACCAGGGTGGCCAAAGTATATGGAATGTAGCTCAAATACACAACACTCAGACTTACTGGATAGACACTGACCGTCATGGTAAGATGCAGTATCCCTTTTTCAAAAGCTGTCCCATTCCTCCAGATATGAACAATGTATTCAGTTCACCTCAGGAAAATAAAACATGCACTACCTAGAACATTTTTTTTTAAAAAATAAGAGCTATGTCAGCTAAATACAAGTATATAGATTGTGAATAATGAGGGAAAAAATTGTTCAGAAACATGTCAACACTTCAGCCTTCTGTAGTCCCTTTTATCAATGACATTTATAAAAAGAGGTGGCCAAGCTCTCAACGTTGGAGATCAGAAAGAACTGGTGTCATCAATAAGGGCTATGACTACCCCCCCTTCCCCAGTTTTAGTATCTAGCAATTGTATTAGAGTGAACAGAATGGACTAGTATTTACACTATCAACTCATGTGTGCATATACATCATTTTATTTGTTTTCAATTGCAGGGCTTTTTTCTTTTTTCATACTTGCTCTTAAAAGCCATACATGAAGCTCCAAATGTTCTAAGAACTATGGTCTCTGTTGGCCAATGGATCTTATATTATCGGTGGTCAAAGGCCTAGAACCAGATTACGGTGAATGAGGTCTATGCTGTCATTTTAGGTGGAGGACACATTCCACAAGGAAATGTGTACTAAATCCAAGGCAGAGTCAGATATTCTGCCACAGTCTCTGAGAAGCAGTAGAGAGGGAGGAAAGAGACTAATAAGGGCAGTGGATTTTATTAAAAATGGCATACCTACTTTAACGTATCTTGCATGTATGAGTAAATACGAGGAATCACATATTGAAATCAGATTCCCCTTCCCAAACAGGATTTCACCACTGTCGTAAAGGTAGATCTAGAAAAGTCAACTATAAAAATCCTGGCTGAAATGCTTCATCTACAGAAAAGGCATGACCATCTAAGATCACTTTTATCATTGTCTTTCTACATCTGCATTTCTGGTTCTTTTGAGTCATTGAAAATGTCCTTTTCCTATCTACATTGGGTGTTAAAAATTAAAAAGGAAAATAAAACGGAGTGGTGACCTTTATACACATGGACACAAATGTCCCAAGGCTGGGAATGGCAACTAGATATGTAAAAGTCATGCTGCCGAGCCATTCAGTTGGGATGCACCCTCCCCTTTATCAGAAACACCAGAAAATCCTAATCCCACAGAGAAGAGATCATCTGCTTCAAAGTAAAATAAATACGCATGATAAAAGCTAACTGTGTTATTTCAATTTGTGGTTGCTGATGCTGTTCGGATTTTCCATGCTGAAAAGGGATACTGCATCTTTCACTCAGCTCTTATCGCACAACCAGGCAAGCTACACAGAGTTTTGAAGGACCTATGCAGTCGTCGTGGCAGAAGGCCCCGCAGCCTTTGCACACAATCATGGCTTTCAGCCGGCAAGAGCATTTCAGTTCCAATTCGTCGGTGTTGCTGCTGTCGGCGAAGTTCTGAACGGGCATCTGAGCGTTCTGACCAGGCAGGCCCGTGGCAGGATTGGAGCCACTTCCCAAAATCCCAATGGACTTTTCAATTGCAGATGCTGCCCTTTTGAAGCTCGTGCTACCAAAGTGTATTGTTGGATAATTTCCACAGAGCTGCTGTTGTTGCTGCACCTGCATTTTCTGAGCAGCTAATTGGGTAAAAGGCTTCTGTGGCTCAGAAAGCAAATAGGAAGAGAAATCTGCATTTTTTAGCGCAAATGCTTTTAACTGTTCTTTCATTTCATTCTGGTCATAGGAAACTTGTTTCATGCCCAGTTCACAGCTGCTGCTTAAACCTTCCTCAAAAGAAAGAGGTTCCGATTTTATATTGCTACATATGCCGGTGGACTGTGGCCAACTAAGTCTCTTAGTGGTTTCCATGGTAACTGGCGGTTGTTTCTGATCGGACGGGACTTCTGCATTAGGGAGAGGTGGAGGTAGTGGAGGTGGTGGGGGCGGAGGTGGGGGCAAAGCCAAGGGAGGGGGCGGGGGTGGGGGGGGCGGGGGGGGGGGGCCCCGGGGGTT